CCCCCCCCCCCCCCTTTCGCCGATCCGCGCCACCGTCATCGCGCCGAGCTGGATCCTTCAAGATGATACGGTCAACAAAGGGAGGCTGCAACTTGAGATGAGGTCTTTTTTTTCTCTTCGTAATAATTATTTCGAGGTTCCCACGAGAGCGAGCTTCATACGGGACGAACGGGACGGACACACTGGAGCGAGCAGGTAGCGGAAGTCATCTGGACGAAGCGTAGAGAAAAAGAGAAAGAAGAGAAGAGAGAGAGAGAGAGAGAAAGGGAGGGGAAGGAGGGAGGAGAAAGAGGGAGAAAGAGAGCGCGAGAATACGAGACGACGAGAGAATCTCGTCTCGTTACACGCTTGTTTGAGAAATCAATCTCGTTGGATTGTATTACGCGGCACAAAGTGTCCGACTCGCGCAAAAAGTGGGTTAAAGCCCGATCGATCGAGCGAGCGAGCGAGCGAGCGAGCGATTCAATTGCGCCGAAGTGCATTTGATCAATGATTACGACTCGTATCGCGCTTTCAAACGAATTTTTACGTACGCCGATTATCCCCATAATCGAGTATCAAGCATTACGGCTGCACTCGGTCGGCTCTGATTCAGCGATATTTACGAGCGGCGAAACGCGAGAACGACCGTCCCCGCGCCGGCCGGTGGATCGATTTTGGGACGGCGCGGTCTAATTGGCGGTCCTTAGATGCTTCTTCGCTTCTTTTAACCGGTTCGAGTGCCATTGTAAAATCCACCGAGCAGATTACGCGCGAGAGTATGTGGGCCCCGGTTCTTCCGGCCGTTCCCACGCGCAAGCGCGCGGGGCCTCCTAAAATACTAAAACAAAACCTCATCCCTCCCCCTCGCCGCACCTTCTCGTTGCATTCGATCCTCTAAAACAAATCCTGTCGCGTAGGATGGCGGAGGAAAAAAAAAGGGGTCCGCGATGGACAGCCTGATCAAATATATCCAGTATACATCCGTTATGACGACTTCCGCTACTGACGCAATTATCAGTCCTGCGTGCCGCTGAGAAGAGTTTCATGTTGCCGCCACGAAAATTACATTTTTCATTGAGTAACTTCGTTTCAGCTTCGATGCGACTCCGATTTACTGGTTCTGCCTTTTATTTCTATTTTTGTATTATATCGCTTTTATCTATCTGTTTTTGGAGGGCCAATAAAGCTATTATTATTATTATTATTATTGTTTGCGCGAAAATGGAAACGTTTCGATTTTATGACAATGCAATAATACCGTGACGGTAATAATAATTAAATCGGCCCCCGCGTGCGAACAATTCTTCAAATTTCCTATCCTTCCCTTTTCCGTTCTCATTTTTCGCAACTAACAAATTAAAAGAAGGTTATAAAATGAAAAAATTCAGAACAGCGACGTAGAATCCATGCGTGTGAAGGCTGTCTCCCTTGAACGTCTTTCGTACGCGATCACAAGTAGCATATTTTTGAACGCTATCTCTCGTAAAGCGGGATCACGTCTCCAGATAAATAAAGCAACGGTCACGTTTTCCTGCAACACGTTTTGGCGCCACGCCGGCAACATGGTGGTTTTCACACGAGGCGAACAAAGTCACGTATAAACAGCCGAGCACAGCCTTGCTCGCCGTGAATTCTACCGCTAAGCGACTTGGGTGATTAGAAGGCGCGAGAGATGCCGTTCAATTAGCCATTTGGGTCGATCGTGTTCTCGTACACGGTCGAATCGCATAAATGTCGCATCCACCTTATCACGTAAAATTCATCAGAAATGCGACTTACGTCTTTCTTCATTGCGTCGAGGATGAGAGACTTCATTTCGTCGAGGCTTTGATTGATTCGAGCGCGTCGTCGCTTTTCCATTATTGGCTTGTTGCTCTGAAATAATCGAATGAAAATCCGCCATTTATTCACAAGAGCCATATTTATCGGGGTCACCAAAATATTATATTACTTCCGCTTTAAATCGGAACGATATATCACGATACACATATCAATTCTTCTCTCGGTACGCAATATTTTCTTTTTCTCTCGGCGAAGAAATTACAGATTCCAATCGGGCGAAAATATCGAATTACCTTCCTCAATTCCGCTTTCGTCATCTCCGAGTGCGACCGCGGCTCGAATTCCTCGTCGCCCAGCATTTTGCAGTTGTGGTAATCCACCATTTAAACGGGATCCTCAGTCATCATCGTTTCTGCTTGAACGTGCACACTCTCGCATAGCCCTTGCTTAATTATTAAATTCTCGGCAGATATCCCGACTATTTTTCCTCTCACACTCACAACGTTGCATCAGAGTTGCATGATCGCACCGAGGAGCACTGAAACTTGGTTTATACGACGTGCCCCGGTCATTGCCGGAGGCACTCGGACGACTGTGTTGGGGATGTCTAGCGTAACCGGTGTCGTCTCGGTTAGGGTGTCGAGGGTAACTGTTTGACGTTTTCGATTTCGAAGACCACATGCCGATGTGCCCGTATACTTGTAGAGTGGGGACGAACTACCCGCAGTGGGGGTATTGGGTACCACGAAGTGGGGAGCCCTTGGCCCTCGGTTCCCGGCCCTCCTGAGACCTGTTGATGTGTGGGAATTCACGCCGTCTGCGGGATATACCTTCTGTGACGTAGTCAGTTAAATTTGGATTACATCCTGCGAAGATGGTATCACGCCGGTAATTTAGATAATTTCACATCTGCATTTCCGCACGTTTCAGCTTTTATTTTGTAAATGCACAGGGAAGAAGGTTCCTTTGGATTTAGTACACGCGTTTGCTTGACTTGGGTTTGTCTCATATAAACAACATAATTTGGTACGAAATATTATCTTGTTTCAATGAAAACGTTGTTGTTTTACTAGAGTGAAGCATATTGTACGATAGAAAAAAACAGTATTAGTTAAAAAAATAATATTTAGCCTTCAATGAAAAAATGTAACAAAAAACTTGTTTAATGTTATTTTCAAATAATTCATAACTTGTGACAACCATTGTCTGTAATGTTTGGATGAAAATGTAAAAGAAATGTTATTTGATGTGAAAATATTTATTGTTCGAAAGAAACCATACAATCCTGTTTGTTGAATCAAGCATTCTTTCGTTGGTTTCATTTCGAAAGACAAATTTGTTTCAATCAAAGAAATTTTATTAAATCTATAAAGATCTTTTTCTCTGTGTACACACGCTCACTGTTTCTCTCTCTCTCTCTCTCTCTCTCTCTCTCTCTCTCTCTAAAGTAAAATATTGACAAATACACATACTATAATACCTCATACCTCTTTTAAACTTTCGTTGTTTATTACAAAAAATGGAAAAAAACATGAAAATTCGATATTATGCGCATCATTGACACTCTTTTTTTTTTTTTGCTCAAATCATAGCGATTGCGAAGTTCTAATGCTGACTTCGATTTGAATTTTCGTGACAACACAAGCGTCGTGATATCGATGAAAAAGAGACCGAATGTTAGCGTGCATCGACCGTAGTAGCGGTAAAGCACAAAGGCGTGCGTGCAATAGAGGATCATCTGACAGAGAAGGGCAAACACCGCGGGCCGACGTGTGTACGTGCGTGCATACGCGCGCGTCATAAGTGTGGCTGGCGCGCGCAACGCGATCCGATACACCGTCTATACGGATACGGGAGCGGAGGGGGCCCCCTCGTGTGGGAATTGTTCTAAAAGCGCGCCGTGTAGGTTGCTCGAGCAAAATTGCGTGCACACCTTGTGTGTTCCTCGTATATTAAATTATATATTATACATCGTATAAAACAGATTTCTCATTGTTTCTTTTATTACGATCTGTATCGCGATTTGTCGACACTCATTACTGAAATCTGTGTTAATAATCGTTACTTGCCTCGAATGAAATACTCGGATTTTAATTCAGAATTAGATACAAGTTATTTTTCAGATAAATCGCGATTACGAACATCCGATTTATCCTAAGATTCAAATGTATTTAATTCTAACCATCTCTCTAAGTCTAGTTAACTCGATATCTATTTTTGCACAAATCTAACTCTAAATTCAGATTTAAATATCTCACGCAAGACAAGTTTCAAATAATGACAATTAATGCGGTCCTTAATTCTTATTGAAGCGACAATTAATAAGTGAATTCCAGTCGCAACTTTCAGGTAACGCACGGAACGACCACTGTAGAGCGAGAACGTCTCACCTATTTAGACATCACACCGTGAAGTCGTTTATTACAAGGATCATAATGTTTTAAGCGGAAAAGAAGCACGTGTGCAAGCACACTTTTCGACTCGCGCACAAAAGACGACTTTCGTGCCGTTGATAAGTTGACTGCAGTTCCTTTGAGAGAACAATGGCCATCGCAATAAACAGATAAAGTTTTATGGCTGCCGAAGTTCTACACCTAGAAACTTTTACTCTTAGTTAGTGTCTCTGTGACTACATCGAATGGGCCGCGTTTAGACTTGGGGATTCAAAGTCTTTCGAAACTGCTGATCTTTTTCGCCATGACCGTGTCTTGGCAAACGTTTCGGACTTAAAGTATCTTCTCGAATTTACAACGAAATTACGAATTTAAATGAATCATTTTGTGATATCGGCAAAACTTCGGCATCAGTTAATTTCGTATCGCGATACTCCGACATTCACAATCATTATTGAAATGATGCGTAAATTTTGCACGCGTTATTATTATTTTTTTAAATAAAGGAATATCCGTCGCTATCGTTGCAGAAGTAATAATAGATATGAGTGCAATTAATGGAATAATCATGCGTCCATCCATTAGGTAATTACTGTGAACGAGAAGTCGTATGTACATCAACAATCGCGATATATCGCGATCGTGCGATCTAACCGGCGATGAATTCGCCTACAATGACGCAGCTGCGCGTCTAACATTCGCATTAGCATTACTCCGGACGCATTATACGTGCGCGAGTCGGCAGATGCAACGAAAGCTCTTTAGCGAAGTTAGACCATCGGACGTTGATAAATCAAGATCCCTACGACGAGATGACTCGATAAGCGCGACCAGTTCATATTCGCGGTATTTTTTTCGTGTTTATGCGCGCCTCGAGTGTGTATTGCGCTCGCTTGTCGGCGTCCAGATATATTCGATAAACAATTCAATACTCTTTCTCGACGGACGCGAAACCCCTTCCCGTTTGCGTATACGCGACGGTGTGTGAGAGCGTTCCCGCTAATAATTTGATAACGATCGATTTGCGAGCAGCTGCCATTTGAAACTCGCGCGGAAAACGTCGGAACAATAGCTTGCGCTTGTCGCAAACTACAATTTCGACAGTTTCGATAAACATTTTTATATTCGATTTCTCGTTGTGAAAATAAATGTTTCACGTGAAAATAAATTTAAATCAACACACGAGACGTCTTAGTTTCGTTCAATTTCAAGCCGCAACCGTTACACACATTTTCTGGAAACAAACGCATTCTTTGTAATTGCGTATAATTGCGTTCGGAATACCCTACAACCAGTAAACTCACGACATGCTGGGCTGAACTTCAGCGATGTCCTTGAGCTTGAAACATTTTTGCGCGTCAATAGAAGACGTAACACTAAGTTACGGAACTTGAATGTACGTGGAGTCTCTGTCCCTTCCGTTCTAACTTTTACATCGGCAACCTTCCGATCCGCGTTCGGGAAGGCAGCATGACTGATTTGACAAAGGAAGCGCTGACCTCGAGCCTTGCCTTTAATTTACCCTTTAGCGATGATAGTTTAGAGATTTATATACCTATACGCAATTCTCCCATTTGCTCAACGTTAATTTTGAACCGTGAATTTGTTAAAATTTTTCAGATCCTTTAGTATTTATTTTTTCGTAATTATTACATTTACAGCAACAGGTATACTGAGAAGAGAATCGAAGGAGACGTAAAATAACCATTGATTCGTGCGTCCGGAAATTTTAATTTTATTTGTTTACATTAAACAACGGAAAATTACATAGAACGGTATTCATAGTCGAATCTATATTTAAGATCGCCTTCAGATGTTCATCTCCAGATGCTCCAATGAAAGTCCGTACAGCATCTGAAGATGAACTTGAAAAATAATTTCAAATATGTAAATATGAGAAATAAGGTTTTTTTATTCTATATTTGTAACATATATTCGCATAAGTGAAAGAATTATAGTCAGGAGAACTATTTTTCTAGTAAGCCTTAGTATAGTGTCAGTGATATATATAATAACCTTACACACATATTGTTACTATTATTTTTACGGTTAACACCGGAGAGAGATATAGTCGAGACCGAGGAAGACTATAATTTTAGTGAAATCTTTCTCAGCGTAAAATCCAACTATAACTACCGCCTATAGATTCGTCGGATAAGCATAAGCAAATTTTACGCGAACGTCTTGCTACACTTCTTCTCACGGGATCCTCTCTTTTTCCCATGATCCATAATTTCCCATAAATATTCCGGGCTAGCTGTCATAACGGAAGGCGTTCGGTCAGATGTCGCGACCTTCTCATTAACCCGGAGAGGTTGAGGGCCTGGAGTAGTTGGCTTGACCACAAACCTCTCGAGAGAGATCAAGAAGGCGCGCCACGGTTTAAATTTGGAACGCCCACCCCTCCGTTCCTTCGCTTTTGAGGTTCGATCTCGGGATGCACCTGCAACTCGCACCCACGCAGCCATAAGATCGCGCAGGAAGGAAATGTTATCCTTAAATCTCACGAAATCTTCATTTCCGCCCGCTCGCCGTAGGTAGGTAGTAGAGAGCCCGGCCTTCTTATTTCACGAGAGAGGGAAACCTTCCCTTCCTGGTCGATTCTCTGTCTCTTTCATGTCGAGGGTGTTCAACGCGTATCGCGCTCTTCGAAAAAAAGAAGGATATCGGACGATCGGTAAAACGTGTCGTAAACTTCCTCGAAATACAAAGAAATAAGAACCCATGAATATTAATATGACGCTTATACGCAGCCAATCGCCCTTTATCGACGGCTGAAAAAAATGCGTGCGTGGGGTCGACGGGACGACATCTGGATTGTCGTTCCCGGGAAAAGCGGCTTGTGAATGCGGGAAAATGTAACTCGTTTCCGTGGGAGTTTAATGAGAAAAAAAACACCGTTCTCGGCGAAGTTATTTATAACTCTTCGCCATTTGTTCCTTCCGGAAGGATGGCATATGGACTAATGTTTCCATAAGAACTTTTTTCAT